TTTACATCACTCTCAGCTAAATCACGGGGCGATGCCAAAAACTTTATCACCGTCAGAACTTCTGGACATGTCATCGTCGTCCGAAGCTTCGTCAGCTGGGTAGACATCCTCGCAAATTCGCAACAATATTTCACTGACATCGTTGTAAAATGACGACAAGAAGAAACGAAAGAAGGTGCGAAGCGACGGAAGACAAACTACAAAGACGCAAGCAAAGCCGCCGTGTCGCCATGAGCAACACGCGAGCCAAGCCGCCTCAAACAAAAAATTTTTTTTTTTTTTTTTTTTTTTGTGCGCGTTTGCGAGGATGGAGGGCAAAGTGCATGGCGCATCGCGTTTCTTTCCTTCCCCGCGCGATGGCGAAACCAGATGCCCGAGAGGCGCGCGATAGCGGCACAGGGCACCGCGGTTGTTTTCGTGCACCAAAAGCGTTTTGAAACAAGAAGCGGCGCGGCTCTACGGCAACTCCGGCTCGGTGACTCGATAGCTCCATGCCTCCGGTAGGGTCGCAAAATTTGGTCGCGAATGTAGGTCGAAAGTCTTTATTCGCAATTTCCGAAAAAAAAAAAAAAAGAAAAAGGTTGATTTATACTTGAATGAACACGGTAGTCAGCCGCGCGACGAGACACACCTCATGAAAGCGATTGGTGCGAGCGACCAAGGCGATAAGCGACGTTTTGAGAAGCCCAAGAACCGAGCGGCGCAAGCAGCGAGAGTGAGAAATCTTCGTCGCTCGGCGCCGGCACTCGTAGCTTCTCGCCGTCGCTCGTCCCGTTGATCGCTATATTGCTTACATGCCGTTCAGAAAGGCGCTCTAAGTGCTTACCATTGCATTGGGACCAGCCTCGCATCCAACCGTAACCAGTCTTGACTTTCTTTTTAAAGCCGCCGAGGTAGAAGTTAACATCGTACATGCATCGTTTTCAAGCATGGCTCCTCGTTCATTGCTCGATTTATATTTTCCGTAATGACAAACAGCAATGAAGCACAATTATTCTAGTTCAAAATTGTTACGAACACTTGGCACGCATGCTTACACTGTAGCGCACCAAACGTAATTTAAAAGTAGAACGAAAACGGGACGAGATTCGCTTACCGCTTCACGGAGACGGACGTCTTCGGATCCTAGGCCTCACGGCCGAACTGGGAAGTCGCCTGCGGTCCGGCGATCGGACGAGTCGAGCCGGCCTGACCCAGGTTGACCACGCCTGGTTGAACTATGAGAGGCGCCGTCGAGTTGAGAGACAGAGACGCAGTAGAAACGGACCGTAGAACATCTGTCCCCCAAAACGCAGAACGAGCCAGCAACGCCAAAACCGCCTAAACCACTACGTCGCCATCTCCGCGACGACCGGAAGCGTGGAAGCCGGAAAGTCAGAAAAGGCGCGACAGCGGAAGCCACTGGCGGAAGCTTTAAGTTTCGGTTTCGCTTTTCTCCGACGCCGGGTTTGCGGCTGGTTGCGACGACGCGAGGGGCCACGAAAAGACGCCGAGTTGGCCGAGTACGAGTCACGGCCCACGATACGAGCAACGGGCCGTTTGCCGCTGTCGACCGGCGATGCGGTATCCGCGGCTTGGTGTCACGATCGGTTTGTTGCCGTGCACGCTGACTCAAAGCTCGAAGTTACGCAGTTCCGTTCCGGCACCAGCCGCACCACGTTTTCCGGTGCATCGCACGTGGAGGCCTTTCGACGCATTTAGTGACCGTAAAGATGGTGCCCGCTGTCTTCGGTGCTGTGGAAGAAGTTGCGAGACGGAAGAAGCATCGAAACCAAGGCGTTTAGGACTGCAGGCCGGGGCGCCGGTTCACTCTGAACGAGAGGCGACATGTGTGCGCACGCTTTGAGGAAGCCTCCGCGTTTCGCCGCGCCAGAACTCGCCGATCGCGACCGTACCCTGAGTCCGAGAGGCTCTTGCGCAGCCGGGAACGGCACCGAGGTAGGAGCTGCTCGTTCTGCGCTACCATGCAGTGCTCAACAGTGCTCGGGGCTCTCGGTGTCGTTCGTGCTCGCACCGATGTCTTTGTGACCCCTTCGGACACGCAAGTCGTACTTCGCAAAGGTTTGGACGGGGCCGCCCACACCGAGCAGCTCCGCTATATTCCGCTTAGTTATGATCACAATAAAAGCTTGCGTTTGTTCGCGGGAAAAAAATTGCGGGACCGCTCTCCGCGCCGCCGACGAGATTGGCCGCCTCCATGTTCTCAGCTGTTCACTCGCTCCCGCAGCGAGCGCCTTCCGATAATCCTCCCCGTTCCAAAATGCGATGCGATCTCCGTTTACATGGGCTGAATGAATGCGCACTCGACATCTCGATCCACCTCTGTCTGGCGACTTTAATGCGATGCGCTTTGCGCATTATGCCGTTTACATGACCGCATATGGAATGCGGCAACTGGATTTAATGCGACTAAGTCGCATTCATGTAAACGCGGCTTATGTTCTTTTTCGACATGTATGGTGTATGTAACGATACCGGTGGTAAACGATGGACGTTAAATTGGAAGATTGCGGTCGTCTTCTGCATGTATGATTTGGATATAACGGTGGTCGTGTGGTATAAGCGTTTTTTGTTGGAAAGATGCCGGTCGCCCACGTCATCGGACGCAAAATCATACCAGCACACCGAATCATATCGGCAAGCAAACTGGCTGCCAGTATAGACAGACCCGGAGCCATAGCGGTGCCTGTATCTCCAGTTATGCAGAAAGCCGAACCAAACTAGCTGCATACATAATAACAAGAAATTATGGTGGTGTCATACCCGAACTGTACAAGCAGCAGGTTTGTTTCTTGTACGTTTTTCCAATAGGGCTGTCAAGCCCACGACTCTGCCATGAGGAGATTGATTCTGCAGAGAAGCTGCTTGAAGAGTTTGTTTCTGATGCTGGGGACCTGTACGGTGAAGGCATTTACGTGTACAACATACATTCTCTGCTGCATCTTACTGCTGATGTGCGGAGGTTCGGTCACCTTGACTCCTTCTCTGCGTTCCGGTTTGAGAACTTTCTGGGTCAACTGAAGCGAGATTTGAAGTCACCAAATCGACCATTACAACAGATTGTAAAACGCTTAGAAGAGCGCAGTCATGCTGACTTGCATCCTAGAATACCACCGAAGCAGCAGGCATTGTTGCAAAAGCCGCATAATGCCGGACCAGCACCTCCAGGATTTAAGGGAGAGCAGTATCACAAGCTAGTTCTTCAAGGCATGGTTCTGGAAGTGAACCTACCAGACTCATGTTTTCTGATGGAAGATGGAAATGTAGTCGTCGCAACAAATGTTGTGTCCCGTGATGGAGAGATCAAGATCTGTGGCCAGTTTTTCAAGAGATTAACAAACTTCTATGCCGGCATTGTTGACACAACTGGACTGTGTACTTTCAGGGCTTCTCAGGTTTCGTCTGCAAATGCTTTGTGGACTGTTGAACAGGTCAAATCAAAGTGCTGCTGGCTTCCTTGTGGGGGTGAATTTTTGGTTAAGCAGGATAGCTCAGATAAGCAATATCTGCCGTAAATGTGCTCTCACTTATAGTGTTGTTTTAATGAGTATATAATCATCACGAATAAAAATAAAGTGTGTGTGCTAATGTCTTTGGCATAAATTATGTCTTTATGCTAATAACTGCTAGGGGATTTTTAAGGACATTTCTTCTGATTATAAGGCATCTGTAGGTTGAAAATTGAGGGATTAGAAAAAAGCTGCTATAAATAGAACTGTTTATATGATGGAAAGACCAAAATAGAAAAGCTGTAAGGTGAATGTCTAATAAAAGGTTAGTTTTCTTTTGCTCATGATGTGTGCTCACTACTTTAGCTCTTTAAATGAATGATAATGTGATTATCCTTTGACTTGGTGATTACACGTAACTATTGTCCCAACTGATAGATATCCCAGCTAAGATGCCGCAAGTATAAAAAGACTGAACACTCTACGCCAGAGGTACACAACCTTTTCGGGACTGCGAACCCCCAAAGCTTCTGAGTGCCCTCCGGCGACCCCCGCCTTAACTATTTTTGGAGCTCTCCGAGGCTCTGTAGCCGCCAGACATTTCCCCACAACCTCCAGTCTGTGCACCTCTGCTCTACACAAGTGAAAACCACTATGTTGTTAGCAGGTGTCTTGCGAAACGCAAGAAAGACTTGGCAAACTTTTAAATATCAATTTTAAGACCAGCAGGATCAAGGTGTCAACTGGCAGGCTTTAGAAGTCTTGAGAAACAGCCAACTGGGGTGTTTTGAACACAATACACTTTGTTTGCTTCCTTTTCTAGCAAAGAAAGAAAGCCCATGAAATATAGGGTGGTTCAAGCCACCAGGCTCGATCTGAAATGGACCGTAAAAATCAATGCCTGCACGTAACAATCTAAACTTTTCGTCAGCGGTGTATTTCACAGGTCGGTTTTTTCTTGTAAAATTATAAAGCGTAGTTCTCGTTCTGTAAAAAATAAGGCCAAGAAACTTGCCAGGGTCTACGGCGGGCAGCGACGTAAACGAGAGGGGTTCATTAGCGGGATGTGTTTGGCATTCGTATCGATAGATGGCGTCGGGAGCAGCCTCCGAAGTTGCAGCCGACCAGTGAAAGAAAGCAGACGACACGCAGACGAAATCCGTTGACAGCAAAAGCGCCACCGTTATACAGACACGTTTTTTTTACTCTAAGTTTTGCTTTTATTGTCCGCATTTATTTTTTAACCGAAGGTACATTTCAAAAAGATTATGCCCATTTTAACAAACCACGGTGGTCACGAGCCGTTGCGATAAGGAGGGAGCGCCATCTATCAATACAAATGCCAAACACATCATGAGTTTTCTTTTGTTTTAGTTTTAGTAATTTTCACCTTCATAAACCATGTACACAGCATTCATATTTTATTTGGTTTCATCAATATTCGATTCATGTTTGATTTGGTTACATCACTATTTGCACACCCCTAATCTTGTTACTTCATAAAACTTGTAGGTATGCTCTTTACTGACGGTCTCAAATTGAATTTTCTAGATGTTCTCGGTCGCCCATTTTATGAAGACTGATGACGTGGCCGTGGTTCCAACACGCTGGATTAAGAACGGGACAGCTCCCTGGCCACCGTTTAAAAATACTGCAAAAGTGAACAGTGCAGTGAGGGACAGAACGGAGCCAGGCAAAGACTGGCCAAAATTTGCCTGCAGGGTCATGTCATATACAGGTAAGCTCCGCCCTGAACGCCATTAGTTTTTTTTTTTCATTCTGAAGAGAGCACTGCTCTATTGAAAGTTATTACAATCCACACTTTCGCAGAATCTACAAAAGAGAAGGGGGTTTGGTTGTGAAATAATTCTTAAAGTACATATCATATCTGACTCCCTTTTTTTAGTTACTATGGTAACGGTACTATAGACCTCCCACTGCCTATGTTAATAGGACACATTGGTAACAGCTTGATAGCTACAAAAAGGCAGCATATGCTTCATTAGCAGAAGCTACGTACAGCTTAGACAAAACTCAGCAAAATATAATGCCTCACATTCAACGCACATTTTTTATTAATTCATTATCTACATAACATCTGACTTGCAGACAGTTACGAAGTTGCCCGCAAGAGGTCCATAAAGGCGGAGGAAGAGTCCGACCTTACATCGGAAGCAGAGACATCGCAAAAAAGAATACGGCGACCTCCGACATTTTTCGATGACTACCTCACTGACAGCAGCGATGAGGAGGGAGTAACTGAAGAACCACCTCCAGAAGGTGACATTGAATTTCTCGCTGAGCCCCCACCGCCACCACCTCTTCAAAGAAAAAGTGGAGCACATTGTGGAGGAGCAGGCCAAACTGATGGTGGCAAGTCCTTTTTTCTTACACGTGTTTTGAAGGAAATGGTTTACATGAACAAATACTAGTGATAAAGTGAAATGCACAAGGTAATCAAAACAAAACTACAGATCATGTATTTCACACTTCGAATGTTTGTAATCTAGAGTTGAGAAAAGGCCTTCCTAGACCCACGTGCAGGCTGTTATGTACACAGTGCGACACTTTTAGCATGAACATGACATCGGCGCTTTTTTGTGCTTTGCTCAAGCTGTGAAACCCTTATGGGCCCTTTTCACCGCATTAGTAATTTTGGTGATATCACCTGATTTGTGTAAGTAAAGCGAGTAAACCCGACGATGTTGTGTTTGTGCTAACAGCGTCGCATAGTGTACAGTATGGGCATGGTATAGATCAGGGGTGGGCAAACCGCGGCTCGCGAGCCGCATGCGGCTCTTTGCTGGTCCAAGTGCGGCTCGCGGATCCCTCGTAAGAGGACTCCCCCCCCCCTTCGCCCCTTTCCGCGTTTCCCCAAGAAAAAAAAGAAGAAAGGATTCCAGAATAAAGCACACTGCAGCTTGCAGTTTGACAGCCTTGTACTCCCATCCAAGGAAATACGCAACTGTGACATAGCAGTTCAACTGCTCATCCTTGTTATTACTTATGCATTGCTTGTGGTTTTTCAGATGACTTGGTGTTGCCCAAAGGAAGACCAAAAAGTGCATCTTCTTTGAACTGCTCTGCTGAACCTTCAAGCAAAGGCAAGTATATTTTGTGACTGACAGAAGAGTTAGGATGTATGTGCACTTTTGACACATGAACCTGTAAAAAGTAACTTCACTTAGTTACAAGTTTCTGGAAAATGTACCTAAAATACAGCAGGGGTGGAATAGCTGTACCATTTGCGCCAGACGCATATGTCTGCGCCATCCTGAAACATGTTGTGGAAACTGCGCCACAGCCAATACCTCGTGCCATTATGCACCAAAAGAATTGTATTTTGTCTTGGTTCCGGTTTTTATCGACCCGATTCGCAACAATGAGCGCATTTAGCTTGGTCGGCCTTGCACTCCTTTGCTCTGTTTATTCTCCCTGTGTATCTCGAGTCAGAAGCGCACGAAAAAAATTGGGGGTCAGACTCCAAGCGCTACACCACCTGCTTCTGGATTGTTATCCTTCAACCATAAGCGGTTAAAGGGCAACTCCGCTCAATTCCGAAGATTTCGGGATAATGAGTGATTTCGAATTAAAAAGCCCTAGTAAAACACACTACGTTGTTTGCTTTGCGAAAAGTGGGCTATATATTTTTAAATCTAATTTTAAACACGAGCTGAAATCGAAACCGAAACTTCGGCTCTGCCCGGCAACATTGGCCTCGGGCCGCCAAGTACATGGCCATCACGTGGTACGAGATGTCACGTGATCCTCGGCCCAACGACGGGCGGGATTGGGGCGGGCGTGTGGCAGGCGCGAGTGTCGTCTGCACCGCACTCTTCGCCACGTTTTGGTGTCTACGGCATTCGACGACGTCTGCACAACTGCGGCATAAGTCTGCGCACATGGTGTCCGTGGTGTGGATGAAACTCCGAGAGACAATAATCACAATCGGTGAGACGACGACGGCGGTTGTGACGCGGAAGACGGCGGTAACGGCGGGCGGCCGGACGGCTCCCAAGAAACGCGCTGCGCGGGCGCGTTACACCAATCATGTGGACACCGCTGAGCGCCGAGAGGCAACGTTGCTGACGTCATGCGCTACGCTCGCGCGGAGAAGTGAAAACAAGCAAAAGGGGGCCATGATAATGACGTTTAGCTCAATGTTGGCTCCGCCCATGCCATAGCCTTGACTGCGCTGTTGGTTGCGCCTGATCGCCCGCTCAAGTCAGCCGATTTCGACAACTTGGCGAGTTGCGAAGTTTGCCGGACCGTTTAAGAAACATTTAGACAGAACTGCGTCGTAACATTTCACTCGTGGTCTTCCTAGGCGATACTGAAGAGGACTGCATTGTTTTTTCAAAACCAAAAATGAAGCGGAGTTGCCCTTTAAGCACGTCAGCAGAAGTGAGGTCGAGTCGTTAAGAGTCAGATTGCCTGAGGCTCTGCGGCCCGGGATCCAGACTTCAGCCAGTTGAAGACAGGAGCAAAAGATTCCTGTTAGTACTTCATCGTTAAAAGTTGGAACCGCATTCCCACAAGATAAATCGTGATTTGATAGAACTGAAATGCGGTCCAATCCGAAACCTTGCCGGCCAGCAGCTCTCATGCAAGCGGTAGATCTGCTTGGCATACTTTAACCTTGCTCCTGCTTATCGCCTCGAATATGATAACTACGCTTAATCATAGTCTGCTGCTTCGTTATTGAGTTACACAATAGGATAAATTCGAAATTTATTGCCCTGTTCCTTCGCGCAACTGCACGTTCGTTGCTTGCGCACGTCACGTGATTCGCGCATGTAATTACTAAGACATAAACTGAAGTGCAGTGAAAACTTATCTGAGCTGCTCCTAGCCTGCTCCAGAATGTAGGTTCAGCTGCTCCCGTGGCTCCTCCCAAGTACATTTCATGAGTTCCAACCCTGTACAGATACAGATACCGAAAAATGAAAGTACCTAGGTTTTTATGTCAGGTACAACAAAGGTACCTAGATACCGATTTCGAGTTACTTGTACCTAGGTGCTTTACAACCCTGGCTGAGGCATGTCCTGTTTAAAAAAAAAAAAACTTTAGCCTTGTTGCTTTGCAGCATTGATGCATGCTGCACGTTGTAAGAATGGATAATTTGTTTGTGTAATTAAGCTAAGTGCTTCGGTAACGTGAGCAACAAGAGAAAAGTTTCTGTATCTTTAATGCTCTTACAGCTTTAAGCGATTAAAGTATTAACTCCTTGTCACCTTGAAAATGAATAAAGGCTTGTTTTTTTATCATCTTTATCGGAACACTCAATATTGATAAGGTTCTAACGTATTGCTCTTTTTTTTTTTTTTTTTTAGCTTTGGTCACAGTTCTTAGGGAACTTGAGTGTATTAAGGCACAGTTGACAAGCATGGCTACAATGTTGGCCAGAATACAGATGCATGTGAATGCTGATGACCCTACTGCCATGGCTGGTCCAGTCCATCCAGAAGACCTTCCAGTCTATCCAGTGAAGACAAGAGAGGAATTTGCCTTCCTGGAGGCTAGCTTAAAAAATGAAGCCATTTTTGCAAAGCTAGTAAGTTTCAAGTTGTTGTGCGTTACAGCCAAAGGTTATTATCCAGAACATACATGTACTGAAATAGTCATTGTTTTTCATCTTTCTTCTGTTCTTTGAGCAAGAGAAGCTTTTATGCGTGGCTTATTGTGGATAACTTTTGATTTCTAGGTGAAAGAGCTTGGCCAAATTGGAGGTAGAGATGTAGCCTCTACAACAAAAACGGTGTTTAAGAAACTTGTCGGAGATGAAGTTGCCGTCTTCTACAACAGAACCGGGCGAAACGGAAAGCAAGAAGCCGGGAAACTGAAGATCTTTAGCCTGATCTATGGTAAGAGTAATGTTTTTGTATCACTGTCTACACTATGGAGAGTAATGTGCTTGCATGCACCCGTCTTTTTTTTTTTTTATTATTAAGTATTACTTTACAGTGATCGTTATAAAACTTCTGATAGCTGTGCATATTTTTTTCAGCTGCTGTACGTGTAACCCGCAAAACTGCAACAGACGACGAGATGGGCCGCGCCATTGGTGATTGGCTGCGCTTCGCCAACGTCCGGCTCCGTGCTCAAGGCAAGCAACAACCTAATCTTTGCAGGAAGGATACAAATACATTGAAGCTGATGATTAATCTAAAAATCTCCTGAGGCTTACAAAATGAAGAATGTAAACCATGCATGAGATCTGTAACACAGCGAAGAGTTCTATTGTACTATCGCTATACATTGAAATACAAAGAAGAGAGCTTGTGGCTTTCTACAAATGCTGCACAAACTGGCCACGAGCCAGCGAAGCTTGCACATGTGTAGTTCGACCAAGGACACTAGATTAATCTCCAACTCTTGAATGCCTTGACTGGTGCCTGGTGTGTAAGCAGTGTACTGAAAGTTATGCGCTTTGTGTTCATATTGCAATTTATTGCAATAGTACATGCTCACTTGTATCATTGCCCCTCCCAATCAAATGCACCAGCAGAAGCAGTGAGCACAACTACAAAATAACGAAGGAAGCTTTGTTTACAATAATTTCTTATTGGAAAAAAGTAAAAATTGGTTTTCTAACATACAGAATGTAGCAGCCGAATAAGAAAGTTCTGCACTCAGCTTGATTTTCTTTGTCTTGCTTTCCTAGAAAATAGGGCAGTAAAAGTATTTCTGACAGCCGTTTGTGGGACTGATTGTGTGTTGCTATTGGGTGAGGCCAGCTGAACATACAAGATGACAACACAGAGAAAATTAGACAAACACGATGCTGGACTAAACTGTTTAATGGAGTGCATTTTTATTCATTTACACAGGAGCAGGTTGGCCCCAGACGGGGCCAACTGGTTCTTTTGTAAATAAAGTATGTGGATGAAGTTAGTCCGGCATTGTGTTTGTCTCATTTTCTCTCTTCCTGTTTTTGTGCTGTAGGTTCATTTGGCCCCATCGACAAGCGCTGCACCAACAAGCTCAGCTCCGGGTCGTCACAAGGTGTATTTTGTCGCGTGTTTCAATGTTGGTTTGCTTGAGCAGGAGGACTGACAACTACTAGGTACAAGTGACTCAACAACAAATTAAAGGATTTGATAGCATGTTGGTGGGAGTTAAGAAACAAACAAAAGAGAGACACTTATGACAAGAGATGCCACGGGTGTACAGTTCAACTAGCAACATCAATAAACTACCACAAGGCATTATTTTATTTTTGCTAGTTGAGAAATGTACCTGTGTTGTCTCTTGTCATAAGTGTTTGCTACTTTGTTTGTTTTTTGCAATCAATTCACTGTTTTAAGCACTTGAACAAGATTGTCATTTTCTTTTAGTTCGTAGTTATGTGGGAAATCAGGTCAGCCTTTTTGCGGCTCTATATGAACTCTCTTTCCCACTAGGATATTTCTAGTACACCCTAATTTCTTGAGGGGTTTCCAAACCTGCAAACCTTTGTCACAAAGCTAAATTTCGAATTAAGCTACACTGTTATGTTTTCCACGTATTATGATCATTTGCCACCTCAAATTTAGTTTCCGGCACTCTGTATTAATTATTTTCTTGTTTTGTTTGCAGCCAGAAAAGTCGAAAACATCCCATCGACAGAAACTGTGGTTTGACTTGGGAAGATGAAAATCAGTTTGTTTCAATTTTTTTTTTTCTGTCTAGTCCTGTTCTAGACTTTCTTCAGCCTATTTCATATTCTATTGTCATATTTTACTTTTTAAAGTGGCAATAAGGCTATTTAATGTCTCGACTTCTGTTCTAGTCTAGTGACAGGCTTTACTGTGGTTTGACTTGGGAAGATGAAAGTCTGTTTGTTTTAATTTTTTTTTTCTGTCTAGTCCTGTTCTAGAGTTTCTTCAGCCTATTTCATATTCTATTGTCATATTTTACTTTTTAAAGCGGCAATAGGCCTATTTAATGTCTCGACTTCTGTTCTAGTCTAGTGACAGGCTTTAGTCAGTCCTTTCCGGCTTTTCTTTAATACGATACCGTTTTAGTAATCAAGTTTTTCTAACTGCTTCTACACATGGCAATTGTATATAGTGCCAGCTGGACATAAAAGGATTAGAGAGAGATAAGAAAGACACACCGTTGGACTAGCAACTGTTTAATCAGATCATCTTTTTCTTCATCTACGTTGAGTTTCTCTTCTTTTTTATCTACACTGCATTTGATTTAATTGAGGAGTTCCTTTTCTTCTAGTCTTATACTCGAGCGTCTCCTCGTCTTCCATTTGTCCACCATGGGTGCGGCCCCTCTAAGATACTCACCTTCCTTGTGGTGTAGTGCGATGGAAGGTATACCCACACACTTGTCCGCTTTTGCGTCAATAGCAAAGGCCTCCAGGATTTCTCGAGTGAACTTGTGGCGGTTTCTTGCCAGGATGTTTAGGCTAGAAAAGTCTGGTACACACAGGCACATATGACAATGGGCAGGTAGGTGCTCTGCACGCTGTGGTGGCCTTCACCGAAGCTGCATGTTCTCTCGTCTAGTCACTGATGCACCTTCCCTTCTGTCCAATGTAACATTGACTACATGACATGGGATTTGGTGCACAACCTCCTTCTCACATTTGGTGTACTTGGCAGTTCATTTTCTCCTTGTTGGCCCTCTTGTTTACATGATGAAAAATTGCACACAAAGAGACAAGGGAAAAACACAGAAGTCAGAGAGGCGCATACTCGCAACTCTGGTATATTAAGTGAAGAAAGAAAAGATGAAGCACGATTCATGACGGGGGACATCAACACCAGGGGGTAAACAGTTCAGTCATAGTGAGGTGTTCGCAAAAAGGCAACTTCTTTTTCGCTCAAAGCAACCGACGGCTGACTAACGCAGAGATCGGTCAGACTCAAGATGGTGAACGCATCGAGCACCTCGCGCGTTTGTTTATCATTAAAGTGCCCAATGATTGAGATTTTTTTCTAAAGATGGTGTGCAGATAGAGGTCTTACAATGCACCAAAAGGTTGACCTCATACAGTTTATGATCGTGCTCTCGCAGCCAGTCATTCAAACACTTTCTAGTCTGTCCGACATAGCATCTTCCACAAGGAAGAGGAATGCTGTACACTACGCTCAATGAACGAGGAGTGAAAGGCTGCACATGTTTTTTGTGGCGCGTGTCTTTTTCGCTTTGGCGCAAACCTTAGAACAAATTTGTCACATCTTTTTAGAGGCTGATAATACTACGGGCACACCATACCTACTTACCACTTGTTTTAGATTATGCGATATCTTGTGTAGATACAATCTAAAACAAGTGGCAAGTAGGTGTGCTGTGCCCACAGTAATATCAGCCCCTAAAAAAATATGACAAATTTGTTTAAGGTCTGCGCCAAAGAGAACAAATTATAAAAAACACGTGCCACAAAAAACATGTGCAGCCTTTTTTTTCCTGTTCATCGAGCGTTGTATACAGCATTCCTCTTTCCTGTGGAAGATGCTATGTCGGACAGACTAGACAGTGTTCGAATGACTGGCTGCGAGAGCACAATCATAAACTGTATGAGGTCAACCTTTTGGTGCATTGTAAGACCTCTATCTGCACACCATCTTTAGAAAAAACCTCAATCATTGGGCGCTTTAATGAAAAACAAACGCGCGAGGTGCTCAGGGCGTTCACCATCTTGAGTCTGGCCGATCGCTGCGTTAGTCAGCCGTCGGTTGCATGAGCGAAAGAGAACTTGCCTTTTTGCGAATATTCCTCTGCGACTGAACTCGACCCCCTGGTGTCGATGTCCCCTGTCATGAATCGTGCTGTCTGTCTTCTGTGTTCCTTCCTCGTCTCTTTGTGTGCAACTTTCCATCATGTAAACAAAGGGACCAACAAGGAGAAGACAAACTGCAAGGTATCTCACGAGACCAAGCACACCGAATGTGAGAAGGAGGTTGTGTACCAAATCCCACTGTCATGTGGTCAATGTTACATTGGACAGACGGGAAGGTGCATCGGTGACCAGACTAGGGAACATGCAGCTTCGGTGAAGGCCACCACTGCAGCAGGGGACCTACCCGCCCATTGTCACATGTGCCGGTGTGTACCAGAGTTTTCTAGCCTAACCATCCTAGCAAGAAACCGCCACAAGTTCACTCGAGAAATCCTGGAGGCCCTTGCTATTGACGCAAAGGCAGACGAGTGTGTGTGTGTGCCTTCCATCGCACTACACAACAAGGAAGTTGAGTACCTTAGAGGGCCGCACTTATGGCGGACAGATGGAAGATGAGAAGATGCTTGGGTATAAGATTAGAAGAAGAACTCCTCAATTAAATCAAATGCAATGTAGATAAGAAAAAAAGAGGAAGTGAAACTCAATGTAGATGAAGAGAAAGATGATCTGATGAAACAGTTCCTAGTCCAGCGGTGTATGCCTTTCTTATCTCTCTCTCTAACCCTTCTTTTATGTTCAGCTGGCACTATATAGAGCAATGAGCCAACTAGCTCAGCTTCAAGCTTCACCCGCTCTAGTCACCACTTCTACTCAGTTTCAAGCTTGTTTCTGTAGTACATACAGATTTGTCTTAAGTTATTGGCTTGTCATTTTAACAGCTGAGTCTAGCAGCATCCTTACTCGTATGTATATGCTTTTGGTTTAATTTGAAACAATAAATGTTTTAGTACATGTACCTGACTGATTTCATCTTTGCAAGGGTAGTAAATTGCAATTATTTCGTCTCAATATGTGCTGTGATGAAAAGGAGCTTGTTAATTCTAGCGTTTTTGTTAATAGTGTGCAATATTGTGCCTTTCACAAACATTCTTTTCCTCAGTTAACGGACATGCTACGATCAAGCTTCTTCAAAAGGTGCATACAGTCAATTCTCTCCCGTTATGTGTATTGCGCACTGGAGTCCGGTGGTTCATCTTCTGGAAAACATTGCTATGTATGTGAAAAAGGACCTCCTCGAAGACCCAGGACGCAATATTTTGTTGCAAGTCTTAGCTTTTTCAGCCCTCAGAAAAGCCATGTCTGTAGTGAAACACTGCCTGTCGTTGGGTTTCAAGGAGGTTCCTTTCCAACACCCTTCTTTCAGCTTTGACTACCTGCAGTTTTGTTGGTATGCAAGTTTATAAAACATTAGATTCACATCAAAGAAAATGGTACTGCTACACTAGCAGAATATCCACAAAATGTTAGAAAGAACTTTTCAGTTGAAGACAAAAGTATTGTAATCAGACGCAGTTGCTACCCATGCAGTTCGCCTTGTTCACAGCAGAGGCGTAACTGCATGGGTAGCGGTTGCGTCTGATTTATAATATTTTTGTCTTCGTCAACTGAAAAGATCTTTCTAACATTTTGTGGATATTCTGCTAGTGTAGCAGTACCATTTTCTTTGATGTGAATTTAATGTTTTACAAACGTTGCATACCGGTTGTAAAAGTGTTTCTCGAATGTTCCTTCAATGTTAATTTAACGTTTTGCAAACATTAAATTTATGTTGAAGGAATGTTTCCTGTGTGTTCAAATAACGTATGGAAAAACATTAATCTAACGAACAGATAAACATTGTGGAAATATTAAATAAAATGACATTAAGGACATATTTCAAACATTTGGGCCAAACAAAAAAATAACATTATTATAATGTTTTGGTGCTACCTGGGAACCTAAAAATAGACGTCAAACTGTCTATCAACCAGGGATGGTTTTATATATTCCGATTAAATTTTACAAGACATCACTGCAATCACTGTTCAAATGTATAAACTCAAAAGCGCAACAGAGCCCCGCCATCTGCAGTTTAAAAGCGCGCACGAAAGGGATCCCAAAGTTCACCGCGTGACTATTATAGCGCCATGTTTAAAAGCGCGCCTAGAGAGCGACGACGCGCGACCGAGCGCAGAGCCGTCAAAAGCAAGCGAAACACGGCGGCGCGCCGCAAGAGCCGTCACGACAGCACGCCGGCGTCGCTAGTGCGACCTAGAGCACTATATAGCTCCTTCGGAGCAGAGTAGCGCAATCTAGAACGCCGTCTCTCGGCGACTAGCGGCGAACGCCCGGAGGTTCCAACTGCGGTCAGAAATGCATGGAGAACATGAGAAAATCGTTGTTTCTTCAGTTTTGTGGGGATGTGCGGAATGGAAATCATTTTTGACATAATAATGAAACATTTTAGAATAATATGCGATAAGTTTTGTGCCATACAAGGACGTAACTTTTTTTTTTAAATTGCCGGAGCGGCATCATGCAGCAGACGACACGGCGACGTCACACCATTCACGTGACCCGCTCCGGCCAACCCGAAAAGCCCATCTCCGCTGCGAGCAAAAATCGTCTGCTTCAAACGCCATTGCCTTGGAAATTGCCTTCTCAAACTTTGCACACGCATCCGATATTATTAAAACTTTGATAAAGTGTTTAGCGCTTTACTAACTTCACGACAGGCTAGTTTTGAAAAATGTGAACTCGCCGTAAGTTTTTTAATCAGCCGTGTTATGTCGATCTCCATGTATTCTCCCATAGGGCGGGCCGCCTCCTGGAACCCTGAGTACCACGTGACTCGCGCCGAGCCGCTCTGTCGGCCATGTTGTCGACAAAACACGGGGTTCAAAGGATTGCGCTACTCTGCTCCGTAGGAGCTATATACCGGGTGAAACAAGGAGACGGTAGGCTCTTTAAATTGACCGGAAAATTCGGTTGCTTAACCTATCGCGCTACGACTTTGTGCAGCGTCGCCCACAGATGGTGCATTTTTTTTTGTAAAATTTGCAAAGAGCAAACTTACCTGAGGAAAAAGTAAAGAAAGAAAAAGGCTTAGCTCCTATGGAAACGCAGCGACGCCACCGGTCTGCAATCAACACGGCGCCGTTTTGCACGGTAGACAAGAGATGGCGCAACGACCGCCGCCAACGAATGAGCATACGGCGCCGAGAGCCAGCGTTTTTAGCAGACGATCTTTTCGAATCAAAAGCGGCGCGCGTTCCGCAAACGGCGACAGTTGCAGAAACAAAAACAGGCGCGGTAACAACAAGCAACTGCAGTTCCTTGTCTGCTAAAAACGCCGGTTCTCGGCGTCGTCTGCTCGTTCGTTGGCGGCAGTTGGCGTCGCGACCGCTTGCGCCATCTCTTGTCTACCGTGCGAAACGGCGCCGTGTTGATTGCAGACCGGTGGCGTCGCTGCGTTTCCATAGGAGCTAAGCCTTTTTCTTTCTTTACTTTTTCCTCAGGTAAGTTTGCTCTTTGTAAATTTTGCGAAAAAAATGCACCTTCTGTGGGCAACGCTGCACAAAGTCGTAGCGCGATAGGTTAAGAAACCGAATTTTCCGGTCGATTTAAAGAGCCTACCGTCTCCTTGTTTCACCCGGTAGTGCTCTAGTGCGACCGTGCTCCCGTTTCACCGCGTAGCGCAAAGGCGCACAACCGTCA